TTATTCATACTATAGAATAATAGCATGTTATGTATGCTATCATTCTAAACAAAATATTTGCAATTTTGTGTGTGATAAAAATTAATTGAGTTTTAAGCGAATAAAAAGTTATATTTGTTTATCACTTTTTAGCCCTTTTATGAACCAAAACTATCATTATTAATTGTTTCGACTGATTTATTTCAGGTACGGAGACATGGTGCCCGCAACGCCCACAGGGAAGATAGTTGGTGGCGTTTGCTCCTTGAGTGGAGTACTCGTCATTGCCCTTCCTGTACCCGTCATCGTTTCTAACTTCAGTCGCATCTACCACCAGAACCAGAGAGCAGATAAGAGAAAAGCGCAGAAGGTAAACACCCCTTCCCTTCAACTTTATTTTATAACCGTCAATTCTGGATTTACGACTACCAATGTGCAACTTGTAATTTTGATCCAGAAGAGCTCCTGCCTTCAGTACCACAAGAGGCATTGATTCATTGTGAGAATATGGAGGACTTTGTGACCAGATAGATTTAACGTGTCACCATTTACTACTAGGGGGAATCTACGGCCTGGTTGGGATCGAATAAGCGACTTGCCCTACCAACCGGCTATCCCAGCCTTAATTAACTCATTTTTTATATCCATCGTTGAACAGCTGACCCAATTTCGGGTTTACGACTACCAATGTTCAACTTGTAATTTTGATCTAGAAGAGCTCCTGCCTTCAGTACCACAGGAGGCATTGATTCATTGGGAGAATATGGAGGACTTTGTGACCAGATAGATTTAACGAGTCACCGTTTACTACTAGTGGGAATCTTCGGCCTGGTTGGGATCGAATAAGCGACTTGCCCTACCAACCGGCTATCCCAGCCTTAATTAACTCATTTTTTATATCCATCGTTGAACAGCTGGCCCAATTTCGGGTTTACGACTACCAATGTTTAACTCCGTAGCCATGTCATTTTGAACCGAATCCAGAAGACAAAAGATCTCCTGGATTGGGAGAAACTTGCATTCGTGGAGGACTTTTTGTTGGAACTAATCCGCATTTGCGTTACATGGAGAGGAAGACCACGAGAACCTCACTACAGTTAGCCTGACGGCAAAGAGACTCTAACCCATGTTCCGTCTACCACTGAGGATATTTCACGCCAGCATTATGGTCAATGCAAGCCGGGTGCGATTTCGTATCGACCAGCCATCGCTGGATTCGAACCCGGTTCACCTCCTTGAAGGAGAACGCTCTATCCCCTGAGCCACCGCTGCTCAAGAATTAACTATTTAACGAGTTTCTGGTGATCCCTCCTTTGATGCCCTTACCTAAATATTAATCCAGAATATGAATTTGTACTGCTTACGCATAGCCGACTCCTATCTGAGCTTCTATGAGTTAGGGTTCGAATCCCGGCATGAACGTACTTTCCCTATCTTCTCTGTACTATGGGAGCAACGTTGGTCAAAGTAGTAGGGTGTCCCTGAAAGAGTGATCAGAAAAATCTGTTCTTCTGATACCCGAATGACGAATGTCAATATCCGTGGGGGGAAAAGAATACTTCTTTCGATTTTAAAATTTTATATGAAAGCTGGTCCTTACGGTGCACCCCATACACAAAAGTTGGGCCATTTTAATCTAGCATTATTTATTTATTTATTTGTGCTAATCAGCTTTTAAGACTTCCTCTGAATACTTGAATAGTAATAAAGCATTCATTTTTATACTGAATATTTATAAATTAAATATTAAATAAATAATCCCACGAATTGAAGCTGTGAGATATTGTTTGATGAAAATTTTCATTCGTTTCAAAAATTTACAAATTGGAAATAACAGTCGACAGGTTTCAATCGCTCTAAAACAGGCGGACGTTTTTAAAACTTGCCAGGCGTGAATGAAAAGAACCAAAAGTGATTTGAAATATAAAATGAAAAGTTTCCAACGAAATAAAAAGTAAAAGTGATACAAAAAAATGTAAAACCACAGTGGCCGAGAGGGGCAAATCAGGGTAAAATGCACTTCCAAGCTCCAAAGAGAGGTAGGGTGAAACTACAGTCGTTACCAAAGGAATCAACATTCATATGAAGAAAAACAAAACGCTTCTAGGTTTTCAATATTAGCTAATGGGACCGGGGTGGAAATGAAATTGAATGGGCAGCAACTCATGATTTCTCGTATTATTGATAACGGGGAATTTTAAAGCGCGTCTAGTTTGTTCGATGGTTGCACAAACAAGGAATGTGGTAAATGCCCCCAACGATTATCAAAACTAATAGGATCTTTAAGAGAATTTAATTTTGTCAGCAGGCCTAAAAATGATTTTGAAACCAAAACGGGAAAGAATATTAGAAATTTTATAACTAACAGATAAGAAGAAAAAAAATGTTAAACGAACAAATTCTCAGTAAGGATTAGAAGAAGAGTGGGAGTTTAACAAGAGTCCGCAACGAAGGAAGTTAAGTTCGGAGCTTAAAGGAAAGGCAGAGCTAAGGAAAACGAAAGAGGGATCAGACAATTGAGGATGATTAGAATTAGTATGAGGAGACGGCAAAATGTTTACGATAAACCGAGGTAGGAAAAGGATTAGGGTATTTAGTGACATCTAAGAATGTGAAATAAATCAAATAAATTGAACGTTGGGGTCAACCTAGATGACAACAGAAAGTAACTCCTTACAATAAGTATTATTGTCTACTAAAACAAACGTATCGTCAACCTTCCTTGTTAGTACAACCTTGACGAACAAACTAGACGTGCTTTATAATTTAGATTCAGACCGCTGTAAAGAAAACGAGAAATCAATAATGGAGAATTCTTGGGCATAAATTCAATTTCGACAATACCAAAATGATCTCCACTTTGGTCACATCAGCTCAGATCGATGCCCTGGAATCTTGCTTTATTCATATGAATGCTGATTTAATTATATGACTTCCTCACCACATCTTCCTTGCAAAAGGAAATGCCTTCTACTCTCATTTGCCTCTGTCTGCCACTGTGATTTTTTTTTTGTTTCATCTCTTTCTTTCTCCGTTGTTGTAGTTTTCCTAATTTTGCTGCTCTCCTTCATTTTTCCTTTTTTCGTTGGCAACTTTTGTTTTGTATTTCAAATCACTACCACTTTTTTTTTACAATTTTATTCACGTCTGGCAGGCCTTGAAAAGGAGCGTCTGCTTTTGAGTGCTTGAAATCCGTCGACTGTTGATTCCTATTTGAATATTTTTGAAGCGAATGAAGTTTTCAATCAAGAAATAAATAACGTATTAGGTTTCACTATACACTGACTGGAATACCTGATTCAGATTATTACCAGCACTGTAATTTTAAATGTGTTGGGTGCATGTACATTTTACTGTATGTTGTTTATTTTAAAAGTTAGAAATAACACTTTTCCTTGTAGTTATTAACCCCCTCATAATTTTATACAAGCTAGTAAGAATGTGTATTGATTATTGCAGAAGGCTCGCATGGCCCGCATTCGCATCGCCAAAGTGACGAGCGGTGCAGCCTTTGTGACGAAGAAAAAAGCAGCGGAAGCGAGGATAGCGGCGAAGGAGAGCGGACAAGATATCGACGACTTTCCCGAAGATATCTTTGAGATGCAGCACCACCATCTGCTGAGGTGCCTCGAAAAGACCACGGTCAGTATATACACTTATATATATATATATATATATATACAAGGTAGGAACTAACTATGATAAACTATTCCTAAAGCCACTGGACGGAATAGTTTGGATGTATGACCTTTTATACTGGATTAGTTAAATATTTTTTAGTTACTTTTTAATATTTGTAGCCTCTTAAAATTAATTTAATTTTAATTGTCCAGTATAATAAACAGTTTATTTATTTATTTATTTATTTAATTATTTTTATTTTTGTATAAGTGGAATGGGCTCTGGTTCGTAAAGAACCACCCCAAATGAATGCAGGTGATACGTGTATACTTTAAAATTATGTAAGGTTGTATGAATGAAGAATAAAACCTATAAACGGTTTTCTATTCCTGTATGCAGGCTCTGATTTTTAAATAAGTCACCCTATGAAAGATGGATATGTGTATTCTGTAAAATTATGTTAGATTTT